GGGAGAAGCAGGCTTCCCGCTGAGCAGGGAGCCCGATGTGGGGCTCGATCCCGGGACCCCGGGATCATGACCTGAGCCGAAGGCAGACGCTTAACAACTGAGCCATCCAGGCGCCCCTAAACATTCTCATTTTATAAAGACAAGAAACAGAGAAGCTAATCAATTTACCTAGTTATATAGCTCGCTTGAAGCAAGGCCAAGTCAGGCTAGAACCCTTGTCTCTTAAACACGAGTCCAGTGCTTTTTCCACACACTGGGACATCAAATACTACACTCAGTCCTTCTCCCATCTTTAGAGCTATCATCTAGAATCGCCTGGTAAAAATGTTCAAAAGTGTAATAGTTCTCCCCAGGGTAGTATGGGAGCTCCGCCTTCACCACGTCATGAACCATCAGTTCGGTTTGGTTCTTCAGTTCATACTGTCTCCACTGTGCCATTGTACTTATGCCCTGGGGATTCAGTAGGAAACTAGGCTTGTGGGTCCACTAGTTCGTTCCTTTAGGTCGGATGCAGGTGAGAATATTTTTTAAGTGGGGGATGGCCCCAAAATTTGGACTTGTGATGACATTATTATGATGATTAAGGACTCAAGTGTTAGAACAGTGCCTGGCACATATAGTGCTTTATATGTGTTGTTTCATTTAATTCTCAAAGTCCCATTATTTTCTCTATAGTTAAGGAAACCTAGGCACAAAAATTTATGGAAGCTGCTGCAGATAACACAATTAGTTAGGGGTGGAGTTTGGATCTGAACCAAAGCAGCCTGATAAGAGTCGGAGCTCTTAGCCTCCACACTGGGTGACCAGCTTCTAGGTTCCTGGCCTAGGAACAAGTAGCAGGCCCAGGGAGCTCCTCGGGACACGTGGAGCCAGAGGGGGGCCCCACTGGAGGAGAAGATGCTGAACTCTGAAAGGGAAGTTGGAGCAAGCCTAGCTGCTGACACTCTCCTCAACAGCCGTTAGCCCTCTGAGACAAGTTGGGAAATAGGAATAATTAATACATAGGAAAGGCCAACCTATCAATTGCATTGTTGAGATGTGGCCACTAGGAGGCAGCAGAAAACTGGGCTCTGAGCCAGGGAGGAGCTGGGGAGCCCACTCCATGCTGGCCTTTGTACTTCAGGGCTCACTCGCTTTGACCTGCTGGGTGACTTTGGACGCTTCAACTGGCTGGGCAATTTCTACATCGTGTTCCTATACAACGCAGCCTTCGCGGGCCTCACCACTCTCTGTCTGGTGAAGACCTTTACCGCGGCTGTGCGAGCAGAGCTGATCCGGGCCTTTGGTGAGAGGGAGTGGGGGCGCAGGCTAATGGGGTGGTTGTGAGGTGGGGCCCTCTGGAACCATGGTCATCCAAGCAGGAGAGATGGCATGCTCTCTGCTTTGTTTGTAATGTACCTCATATACCCATTCTGTGGCTTGGTTGTCTTATCCCTGAGACTGGACCTATGCCCTGCTTTTGACTGCCCACCCTCCCTCTTCTCCAGGGCTGGACAGATTGCCATTGCCTGTCTCCGGTTTTCCCCGGGCATCTCGGAAGACCCAGCACCAATGACTTCCAGCTGGGGGTGGGAGGGAGAAAACTGGACACTGCCATCTGCTGCCCAGGCCTGGAGGGGCGCCCAGGGGTGGGTGGACCTCAGGACCTGGAATCTGAGAGGGTGGTAGAGGGGAGCTGAGCTGCCTGCACTGTTGCATAATCTGAGCCAGAGTTTGGGACCAAGCCCCCCTGCTTTTCCAAATTTAACTGTGGGCCTCAGCATGGGATGGGGCTGGGTGACTGGGTCTGGTCCCTGGTCCCAAATCTGTTTACACATCAATCTGCCTCACTGCTGTTCAGGGCCATGCCCGTAGCCATGTTTACATGATTTGATGTGCAATAGGGTGGGGTGGGGACAGGGGAGAAACTGAGCTGGGGGTAGACTTGGGAGGCAGATTGTCTCCCTTACCTCTGGCCCAGCAGAGCCTAAGCACTGTACTATCCTGGAGGGGCTTTGGACCATCAGAGAGACAAGGGCGTAGGGAAGAAGACACCACAACCATCAGCAATAAAGTTGATCCCAGGGTTTGCTTTGGTTTTTTAAAGGGCCTGTCTCTGTGTCTATTGAACAGCCTTATTCCCACTAATTCTGAGTCTACCAACTGAGAAAAACAGAGGGATCCTGCCTACCATCCTTTCTCTTTTCCTCCATCATCTGCATTCTTAGTATCTTTTAGAGACTTGGGTCTAGTGTTAGGTCATACAATTAGGCAGTGGGAGGCTCCTCCTCCTTTAGCCTTGCTTAAAGCTGGCTGGTCCCCTGACTCTTCCTTATACTCATGCCTTATTTCTGTGCCTTGGTTATTGGGGGTAGGTGGGCATGGGTGTAGGAATAGGATAACTTCTCCTATATGCACACAACATCCTCAGCCCTGTCCTCCCTAACTTGGGTTTGACCTAAAGTGAAGGAAGGCTGACTGACATGGGTTTGTGATTCTCAGAAAAGAACTTAACTCCGTCTTTCCAGAAGCTATCAGTGCCTAGAATGCTGTGCAAGCACTCCTGCTGTGTTGGGGGTAGGGACAAAGTTTCTGCTCAAGGTGACACAGATTGTGCATTGTGCAACTTCTAGGGAGCACCATTCACCTTGTTACTATATAGTTACTACGACTATTTTCTTGCAAATGGCAGTTAGGTGTCTTGAGGAAGGAACACTTTTTTCTAATGTACACAAAGTTGCTATAAGTGCTAGCCATGGAGCTGAGGGAGGGGGGATTATTGAACACCAAAAGGAACTGTGGATGCCACAGATACTTTGCTGAGCACCCTACTATAGGCCAGGCACTTAGCCATGGGGATTCATGGTAAACAGTTTGTATTTAAGAATTGCTTTGTCTAGTAAGGGTGACATAATTCTAATACCACATGGTTGGCAGTTAATTACTGGTTCTCAGGGAAACAGGTGGGCAGTGTCAGGACATCAGGGAAGGCTTCTTAGAGAAAGTGATGTTTTGTTTTTGTTTTTTTTAAGATTTTATTTGACAGCACAAGCAGAGGAAGTGGCAGGTAAAGGGAGAGGGAGAAGCAGCCCCACTTGGAGCAGGGAGCCCAATGTACGGCTCGATCCCAGGACCTTGGGATTATGACCTGAGCCGAAGGCAGACGCTTAACCGACTGAGCCACCAAGGTGCCCCAAGAAAGTGATTTCTAAACAATAATAGATTGGTGGGTGAAGTGTTGCAGGCTCAAAGCCTCTGAGATGAGACCTGAGTGGTTGGAAGCAGAGCCCCAAGGGGTTCAGAGAGGGACAAAGCTAGAGAGGTGCCTAGATGGAAGGTAAAGGGAAGCGACCATTAGCCTGTTAAAAGACTATGACTTTAAGTACCCTCTGCCCTCCAGCAGCTTCCAACTGACAAGTTACGCATTTGAAAAGAAGCAGCCATTGGGTGGGTGTCTGGCAAGGACGAGACAGGAGGCAGAAGTTTGAAGTCCAGAACCAAATTATAACTACAGAGATCTATCCCTGATTCTGGGGGAAGCTCTCAGCAGAAGGCTGCAAAGTTACCAAAGAAAATGGTCCCCTGGTACCCACCCCTTCCAGCCCAGGCTACTACTGTCAAGGAGGAGAGATGAAAGTGGGGGAAGTTTGGGGAGGACCACAGAGAAGAAAGTCTCTGGTTGTATGCCCAAAGGGCTTGGCTGGCCTTGGGTAGAAACTGGAACCCATACTTCCTGGATGATAGCAGAGGACAATGGCCTGCCAGGATAGGCTTTGGGAGAGTAAAGATCCAATTCAAGTATCAGAGGAGGGTGGTTTGGTGCCAAGCTTAGGCTTGGAAGTAGAAGGATGCTTATCCAGGCAGCTTAAGACTGAAAAGCTCCTAGGATTTCTTAGACAGGTGCCTGCCTGGTTTCCAGGATGGGACACGCTTCAGTCGCGAAACGGACCAGCGGTGACCGGCTAGAGCCCCCGCCCCGGTGGGAGGGGGCGGGACGGTCCTGGGAGAAGGGCGGGGGGCGGGGCCAGGGGCCACTTAAGGCGGAGCCGGGGTGTTCTGGCAGCGCCGGAGCCGGGCAGCAGAGCCAGGCTGGGCTGGCACTCACCCACGACCCCCCTTCCCTGCTATGATGGGCCGTCAGTAGCAGGTTCCAGACCCCCCGGGGGCATGTAGGCAGAGCTGGCGGCAGCCAGGTGCGCAGAGCCACGAGAGCTCTAGGGCACTCTGGGGGCAGCTCTGCCTGCTGCGCTCTGTGGTGCCTGGGGAAATGCCCAACTGACGGGCAGGCTGGTGAGGACAACGTACCCTTTGGTCCGAGCCCTCTGCATCCATGGCGCTGCCGGCCAGGCTGATGCCCCTGTGCTGCTTGGCACTTCTGGCGCTGCCCGCCCAGAGTTGCGGGCCGGGCCGGGGGCCGGTTGGCCGGCGCCGCTACGTGCGCAAGCAGCTCGTGCCGCTGCTCTATAAGCAATTTGTGCCCAGTGTGCCCGAGCGGACCCTGGGCGCCAGTGGGCCTGCCGAGGGGAGAGTGGCAAGGGGCTCGGAGCGCTTCCGGGACCTGGTGCCCAACTACAACCCGGACATCATCTTCAAGGATGAGGAGAACAGTGGTGCAGACCGCCTGATGACCGAGGTAAGGAGGACTTCTCCCCACCTGTGCCAGGGCATTGCCAACTCCTGTGGCAGCCTGGGAGGGTAAGCTGGGTTTCATCCATAGAGACCTTAATCTCAAAGATCTCCTCTCCCTACCCTTCCACCGCCCCCCCCCAAAAAAAAACCCAAACCTGTGCTCACTGGGCTAAGTGATCAGGAGGGATCCCAACAGGGAGAAGCTGGAATGGGGAGGGGAGGAGGGACTAGTGAGAGTGAAGCTGGGAGAGACAGCGAGGGCGGGGAAAAGAGGATGGCGGCAGGCGAGACGGGAAATGGCTGAGGCGTGGACCGGGGGTCAGCTACCGAGCCAGGCAGGAAGGGCTGGGGTGAGCTGGGGGCCAGGAGCTGGCTAGGCAGCAGACAGAAAGCTCTACCCTTAGCCTGGCTCCTGACCTGGTTGTGGAAAAGATCTGTGGGCTAAAGAGATTGAAGGAGGCTGGGAAAGCGGTGGCCAAGGGTTAGGTCACCAGGCCATCTACCTGAGAAGGGGCTGGGCAGGAATTGTCTTCAGCATGGGGGAGGCATCCTAGAACCAAGGCAAAACTATTCTAGAGTCTAAATGACTGTTTTGGGTGAAAAGTAGTTCTCGATGGGAAGAACAGATGGGCCCACCTGAGAATCAAAGTGTTCCCGCATCCCTCATGCTCAGCTTAGCTCAGGAGCTTTCCTTGGAATTAAAGAATTAAATTCAACTAGCATGTGTCAAGCATCTGCTGCAGACTGGAACCTAACTGACCTAGGATAAGGTGAGCAATGCCTTGGGAGTGAAGGACCACCTCTGGCCAGTGACCTCAAATGTCAGACCTGGAAGGAAACTTGGAAATCACATTCTTCCACCTCCTCGCTTCAATTTTGCCGCTGAGAGCTGGGCCCCAAGAGGAAAAGTGATTTAATCAAAGTCTTAAAACTAATTAGTGGCATGGCAGGGACTAGAATTCAGGACTCCTGATTCTAAGTCTATACACTTTCCATTACACCACCTAATTGTGTATGGAGTGGGGAGGTGGGGGGAGAGGGAGGGGTACGGATTTCCTCCGATTAATTGCCACAGTTTTCCAGGTTACTTTGTTAGGAAAACCTGTCCAGGGGAGAAAGAATTCCTTCTACTACTACTCAGAGATTGGGACGGGGACACTCCTTGGTCATGGTATATTGTGGCCCTTTCCCCTGGCTGGCACCTGCACCAGAGGGGCCAGAACAAGGGACAGGCCCAGGAGGGGCTCCGACAAGGCCTGGGAACCCCTCGGTCCTGCTTATCTCCCACACCCTGGCTGCAAAAGGCCTCCATTGAGTTGGCTCTGCACTGGGCTGCTGCCCCCGCAGGTCAAGGCCTCAGGGCCTCCTTAGGGGACACAACGACAAAAAGTTGGAAGGAGTTACCACTTTTCCTGTCTTCCCCTCCCCTCCTCTCCAACCCTGCGGAGATGTAGAAAACTCGGGAAGAAGGGAAGGAGGAAAGTGCCCCTATGGCACTTAGGAGAAAGCCAAGTCTGAGGTGAGAGGTCGGAGCGGGGAGAAGAAAAGGAAACTGTCCTCTCTGCGCCTCCTCCCGCCGCTTCGGTGCTATGGTGCGCGCCAAGGTCTCCGGCTCCCAGACTAGAGCCGCCCAGATAACCGTGCTCTCACTCCTCCGGGTGCAGGCTTCCAGCCACCGCTGCTTTTCCTCCTCTCCACTCCCACCCTGCAGGGGGCCCCCCAGTTCCGCGCAAGGGCAGCTCCCGTTAATCTCAGGTGCTACTCCCACGCCTTTCTGGGCTGCATCTGGAACAGAGATGGAGAGACCGGGGCTCAGGGCTGGCAGAGCCTGAGCTGGAATTGGGAGGGCTGGTCGCGCTGGGGGAGGGGGCCCGGCGGGCAGGAGCAGGGATGGGGGGCGCGGCTTTCTGCCCTTTCCTCTCCCGGAGCCGGGGCGGCTGAAAAGCGCCTTTGTGGATGGAGCTGCTGAGTCCGCTTCTCCCGGCGAGTCCCCAGCCTCGGCCCGGGATTCTCGCTCGGTTAAGTCATCCCGGAGAATGGCCATTGTACTTCGCGCAGCCCCCGCCACCCAAACCCTTTTTCCAGCAGCCTTGATCCCGCACGGCTCCGCTTGGGCACCTTTGTGGGGGGCACTCGCACCACGAAGGGGTTAATGCTAGGGGCCAAAAGGAGGAGGAGGAGGAAGGAAGGAAGGAAGCGATGCCCGGTGCCAGGGAAGGCAACGAAACAAAAGATGAATCAGGCGGAGGGAGGGCAGCCCGGGCTTGGGGCGGGGGCCAGGCTCAAACAGGGGCTCCTCTCGGGGAGCCAGGCTGCTCAACCCCTCCCTGACAGAGCTTCCCCCCACCCTCTCAACTCTTGGCCGCTTCCAGGTTGAGCCGAGGTCCCAAAACGAGTGAGGGGTGGGCGTCGAAAGAGGGGAAAGAGTTAGGTATGGGCACCCCCTCTTAATCTCTGAGGTGACCCCACAGTTCTCC